CAAGGTCTCACCACCACCTTGTGTTTCTTCCCGTTAATCACAAAAATATTCATGTTCATTTGGTCTAAGGTTCATTTAGAATAAAAGGTAACAATTCAAATCCTACGGAAGAGTTAAAAACATTCATTCAGCATATCATTTGAACGAAAAGAAGCACCTCAAGTGGTGATAATTGGTTTAGACATTCTTAAAGGAAAAGAAGATTGGGCAATTTACTTGGCTTTGAATTTTAGCAAGAGGATCCTATATTCACTACTTGGAATGAACATGACTCAATGATGACATCTCGATTATGGAACTCCATGTCTCTTTAAATAAGTGACACTGACATATGCATGTTCCTTCATTCAATAAAAGAAAATTAGCATACGGTAAATCAAATGTATTCTAAATTCATGATGCAGCTTAAATCTATGAGATCAAAACAAAAATCTTAGCCACAAAGCAAGGAGGAGGATTTATCATAGAAAACTACAATCTATTACAAGGTCTTGGGCAACAGATGGATCATTATCAATACATTCAAATAGAACATGGAAAAAATACATCCCTCCTTAAAAGGTTTGTTGAAAAAGATCGAATTTATGATATTCTTGCTAGATTAAATATTAAGTTTGATGCTATAGGGGTATAAATTCTCATAGAAGAAGATTTTTCTTTACTAAAAGAAGGCATTGCCATTATTTGAATGAAAGAAGAGAGAAAAGGGAATTAGATTGATCATAACCCCATAGAAAGTTTAACGACAAAGGACATCGACATCAAACACCCGAATTCAAAACTTTTATCTTCAAAGAAGCACAAACACACCCAGCAAAAACGATCAATAGGGATTCTTTATGGTGCATATTATGCAAAAAGGTTTGATTTAAAAAAAAATGTTGGAAGCTTTGTGCCTAGTCACCAAGCAAAAGTTGGGCAACACTAGGAGGACAAGTAAAAAAATAGAGACATGCATATATATCACGTGTGAAAGAAGGTAACACAAAAAAAAATCCCTATTGAGTTAAAAAAAAAAAATAGAACAAGTTGAAATTTTTGCTAGTATCACTAAAAAAGAATCCTATGACATGGTACTTGTTTTCATGTATTATCTTATTTTCCCATGTTTTTAAAGTGAAAAAAAGCCCATTACTGACTCCTAAATTATTGATGCAAGAGCTAAATATCATATGAACAATTCACATAAATATATTTTATATACTCCCTCTTATAGCAAAAAGAAAATAACCATTATTACTAGATCATTGATAACCGTTGCTAGCCAAGGAGACATTCTTATAAAGCAATCGCCCATACTTTAAGATGACATCCATGTTCCTAAAGTATTCACAAACTAGTTTTCTAACCAAGAGTTAACTACAATTTCTAAATGCCTTGTTATATTTTACCATTCATGGTGTATTTCAGGAATAGAGCAAAAGGAGAACGACTAAATTTGCTAAAGAAAGATATGTTCCCCACCACCTTGAGAAATCCAATGACCAAGAAAGCTCCAAACTATATATTATATATTTTTTTTATTTCTAAAACTTTTAAATCCAATAAAATAAGAAAATGGCTTTAATACCTATGACTTGACCATGATTCTTTAGTTATTATTAAAACTATTTTTTATTTTTTTTATTTAGAAATACTAATATTGAAGAGTTTCATTGTAATGCTTGCGAGTTAGTAAAAATACAAATGCACCAATTTTCTGATAAGTAATGCAAGAATCCAAATTCCCATTTCTTCTCATTCATGTTGAAATCTAGGGACAATTAATACTCCACCGAGCCTAATAGACCTCCAATTTCCTTAATTCACTTCAAGCCACCTCAGTAATCTGTGGGATTATTAGTACCACCTCATCAATCCATAGACTTATAATTATTCTATATTTATTATTCTAACGCATCATCAATATGTGGACTATTGTAATTATTCTCTAATTACTAAAAATTCTCCTATGATTGTATAAATACTAAACAAATATTGGAAAAAAATACTCAACCTATTCTCCCCATTTCTTCTTAGGGTGCAATTTAAACATTAATACATAGTTGAAAAAACCAATTGATGTAAGGAGTACGTATGAGAGAACTTCTTCTAGTTGTCGACCATGATTTCTTTGGATTAAAAAAAATTTGTTTGGACAATATCATCCTCCCTAGAAAAGAACACTAGCACCAAAGCAAGGTGAAAACTAACTAAAAACCAATAAGAAGAAAGAAAAAATTCAATAGGGTTCTACTATACAAAATAATTCTGGAATTCAAAACTCTACAGGGATTCTATGCACTCAATACAGGATATCAGGAGGATTTTTGTGTCATGATAATGATCAAAAGATCCCATCGAGATCATATGTTATCTAAATTTATTTTTGTTTCCCTCTTATTTTTATGTTGGTAAGCTTGAACATACACTCATGCAACTGCCAGTGAGTTGCTTCCCTTACATGACTAATTATTGGTATAGTGGTTAAGGAGCAGGGAATCCACAAAAGAAGGAGATGATTGGAGACCTAGTTGGTTACAATAGTAATTGCTAATTTTGATTTTCATTTTCTATGAGGAATGGAAAACTATTGATATTTTCACATGAAATTTAAAAACTAATAAGGGTAAATTTTACCTATAGGAAGGTTTTTACAAATCTCTCTTTCGAAATCCATATTACGATGGTAAAATAGGATACTATTAACAAAAATGATAAGTTTATCTCAACCTAACTCGAATCCAATTTCTTAAGAAGGTTGTTTGTAAATGTTTTTTAATTAACAATGTTATCTATTAAATGCAAGTCATTTAGTTTAATGCTACATAAACCAATATAATGCTATCTAGAATGATCAAGGATGATTATGATCTTTCTCTTTACTATCATTTATTCCAGCAACCAATAGCTTGACACCTAGATATTGGTAAATGTGGCCAAAAACTTAATGTAAATAGATTGGGTGGCACCTTGTTAACAAAAAACAGAATTTAATGTCATCTATAGAATTCTTATTCAAAGATTTCATTAAATCAAATAACTAAAGTATGCTAATAACGTAACCTTGCATAATAATAATTGTTGAAGATCTAAACATACTTTCAATAGATTATTAGTCAAACAGTAATGATTCAAATACTAAATGCATCTATGAAAGTCATTTAGTTGGGCCAAAATCATGCTAACCAATCAATGGAAGTAAACTAGGAAAGCAACATTGAATGGAGCAAACGTTCAATGATGAAGTGGTAGCTAGCTATACCTCATGAATGGGCTAGCAAAGTGGTATGATTTAATGTAATGAGGGTTGGGACTAACCCTTCAGAATGATGGAGTTTGTGAGGAATGATCAGAGCAAATAATAAAACTCTTGTGAGAATTAATAGAGGAGCTAAATGAAATAAAACTCCATGATTATCCCTAATCCATTATATGGGTTAATAAATGTGAGTTCAATTTACCTACATGAAAAGAAAGAAAGAAAGAAAAAAAAAAAAAAGATCGCTTTGATGCCTGTCTTGATCTTGTATGGAGGCATGCTTAGCACTGTTGGGTTCACCTTTCGCACTATTTCTATAGAAGAGCACAAAAGCGCAAAATAACATGCACTTGTGTGCAATGGGATATAAACCATAGCACATAAAGCACATGCATTTTCTTTGGTTTATTTTTTATTAGTTTTAAAATTATTATGATTTAGATTTTTTTCCATTTAAGGGCATGATCATTTGTTATTTGGTTTACATTAAGTATAAAATAACTTGATTTGAAGATGCAACCAATCATGCTAATGAATGATGCTACTGAAGGTTAATAGAAAAATTGAACGATGACTTAGAACAATAGGATTACCTAGTGTTTGATGAACAAAAGTTTACATGAAGTAACATTGTAAGAACTAGAGGTGAATGAAAGACAATACAAAATTCAAGATCTAAATAAAAAAAAATGAATATCCATATAGGCTTATCAAACTTACAAATGAATATGAAAATGACGAAGGTGATGAAGAAGATTATAATTTAAAAGATGACAATGATAGAGACAAAGTTATTTTGATTTATGATGGGGATGATGATTATTTTCTAGATAAAAAGTTTACTTTTAGATGAATGTGGAACTGGTAACCAAACTATTTCTATGTTCATAACTTAACTTCCAAATTTAATATTTTATTCTATTATTATCCATTTCTATAACCATGATAGTTATATTTTCAAAATTAATATTTTTATTTGTCATGATACTTTATATTTTAATATTATTGACTTTAGTTCACCTTTATGAATGGCATTGCTTGGATTTTTAAACTTATAGGTCTTACATTGTTGATGTACTATTAATTTAATAATGATTTTTTTCTTTGCACTAGTTTTAAAATAGTGTGCCATGTCATGCGTTTAGCTATATCGTAGACAATTGCGCCATAATAGTGCATTGCTATTGACAAGTATGAGTGGGGGCATGGAGGATCTTGTGCATGGAATTCTGTTGGAATTCCGATCCGAATGAGATCCAAACATGAGATTGTGATTGGATGCTACGATTTGAAAAGAATTTTCACTATTTCTTCTTATCAATTCTTAGATAGTTTTCACCAATCCATGAGCCCTTATGAACAATCTTAGAAGAAAATAGGATATGACTATAGAGTAAGCACATCTTCTTTAATCATAAAACATTCTTTGGCCACCCACACAAGTCGTGGTGGACAAAAAGAAAGATTCATCCAAACATGAATGGCTTCTTAGCTTGCAACACAAACATATCGCCCAATATTGGGTGCAACCCTAACATGTTTACATAAGTTGCACAACACATTCATGCATGTATGAGTTGGGTGTAACAAGTAGGGTGTTTCTTTTAGCGGTCACCATGGTTTCCTTTGTCGATTGAAGAAATCATCCTCTTAGACAATGACATTCTCACATAGTCTCCATTTGAATTTCCCATGCATACTAAACAAGCACCTACAAGAAGAAAGGAAAAAATTCCAATAGGATTCTAACGTGCAAAACCTTTTCATGGCCCTAGTAGGATCCTATCTTCCCATGGGATCCCATGCACACAACACAGGATGTGAGGATCATTTGTGTCTTGCAAAAGATCTTGAGATTTTGTCAAGATCATGTACAATTGAATTTTCTTCCTTTCCTCCTTGCACTTCAGTAAGCTCCTACATAATATAATATCTAAAATGATCAATGACGTCATTATATATTTTGACATTATTTTAACCATCAAATAGCCTGATATCTATGTGCCAGTAGATTAGGTAGATACCTTGATGTCAACAGATTTGACTGATACCTTGATGTCATCAATATAGGATCTAAATGTCATCTATACGAAATCTATGCACTGTGATTCTTTTTTTTTTCTCCCAAAAAAGAATCACAGTGCATAGAAAATGTCAGAGAACCAAACAAACCTTGAATAGATCTTCAAGTCCCACAATCAAGTGATAAACATTCAATTTTCATGGTTTTCTAACAAGCTTTCAAGTTCCATTTAAAAAATTAAAAAAACAAAGGCTTATCAACATACCCCACGGTGGATAAAAGGCTATTTTCTGATAAACAGAACGCCACCAAACTTCAAATGGAATAGAAGGAATCCAAACAAAAGGATTTCCAGAATCACAAACAACAAAGCAAAGAAAAAGTGAAGCAAACGACTGAAAAAAAAATACATAAATGAAACAAATGATTGTTTCCTATGAACGCTTAAGAGTGAAGCAAAATCCGAAAGGAATAGTAGCAAAACTGTAGCTTTTGAACCTATCAGAAAAATGCAATCATTTCAGAAACCATAAAGAAAAAAATAGTTAAATAAGAAGCTCATCTAGATCCCTTTCACAAATGCTCCCCGCTCCTCACTAGAAGGCAATCGAAAGGATATCAGAAAACAGATAAATCGTTCCTAAAACTGCAAAGAGACGATATAAAAGAGAGAACCTTCTCATTTAACAAAAGATATATACATATATATATAAAAGATAACCAAGTTTCGAAGCTGACCTTAAAAAGAAAAACCCTCACCTGGAAGGTGCTGTATTTAACTTATTCCAGCAAATCTGATGCAGAGGAAAGACTACAGCACAACCAGATATAAAAAGATGTAATTTTTATGGCTTTGGAAGCAGAAAGCGAACGATTTGATGGCCCAAGTTGTGATCTTTCAATAAGCTTTAAAGGCAAAACAGAAAACCTTGCTAAATAAAGACTTGGATTTCAACAAGTGAAGGATTCTCAAAGCCGTTTACATTGGAAGTGCGCCGTGAGCACAAACACAGCGAGAGAGAGAGAGAGAGAGAGAGAGGGAGAGGGAGAGAGAGAGAGAAGAGGGAGCGCAATGTTGGAGCGGGGGACAAGGAAGACAGTCTGGGGGAAAATTTCCCTTGTTGGTTTGCCAAGAAATGCGTGCATATAAAAGAAATAGTTAATTATTTGAAAATCACGGAAAAATCATAAACAGCGACGATTACGACAATATAATTTTTAAAAACGTGAAATTAATGGGCTCAGACATGTAAAAGGAAAGTAGCAGAAGCAGAACAGAAGATCGCTGCAATCAGACGGCTGTTATGAAGAGACATCCAGGCTCCTTGAAGATCATGTTGTACCTTTTTTAAAATTAATCTTAAGATCTCCCCAGTAATTTTTTACTAAGAGCATTTCAAAATTTTAGTACGTATTGATATGTTTTTAAATAAATTTAATTATATATTTTAAATATTTATGATTTTATCATGAGTTTTTCGATTTTATATAAATATTTGCATTTTCTTAGTTTTAAAATAATTCTTAATGTATTTATGTTATATTTAAACAATTTATATTAAAAGTACTATTCGATGAGCATAATATTTTCAAAATATTATAAATGTCTTCAATTTTGTAAATTTTAAATCAAAATTCAGGGAATTAAAATATATTTTTTTTAAGTATCACGCATACTATTGATTAGGGGTGCAAATGAGTCAATTATACTCATGAGCCGACCTAAACTCGACTCGTTAATGAGTTCTTGAGTCAAGCTTATCAAGTTTTGAGTTCGAGCTCGAGCTAATTTCTGAACTCGTTGGATTACCGATGCCAAGTTTGATTGAGATGAAGCTGGAATCAATTACTCGCTGAGAGCTCGAAATTCTACATAAAGCGGACTAACGGACGGATTGCGGACCATGCGAAGTCACGAACACATATACGAATCAAGCGACCAGCCGCTATTCAAAGTGAATTGCCATATTTGATTTTTTTGTCTTGTGCAAACTTGTGTTTATCTAGATTTTCTTTTTTTGTTGCTATGGGTCGTGAGGGCGACGAGGAGCGGCAATGGCAGGATCTGCTAGCGACTGAAAAATTTCTCAAAGTATCTCATCTCTCACTTGTATCTCAACATTGCAAGAGCATTAACCTTTAGTTTTTCAAAATTTGCAGCAGCAATACGAGCCGAGTTTGCTTGTTCGGGATTGACGAGGGGGTGAAACCATACAAAATATCTCGTAAGTTCACGACTTATTGTTTGAGTTATAGGAAGAATGCACATCTTCTTTTGAAGAGGAAGTAATTGGTAAAGATGACACATTTAGAGCAGGAAGAGCAAGTATTGTTGGTTCAAGTAATAGTTCTAGAATTACCCAAGAATGTGGTGGGAATAAGTATAGTGGTTGGAAAGATTTTGGAGTTTATATTTCACATAAAACAAACAAGAAGCCCATCAAATCTGATTTAGATAAATATCTTGAAGATGGTTTGAAAATTTGTCCTCCAGGATGCCCTTTTGATGTTATAACATGATAGAAGAGAAACCCGATGAAATAGCACATCTTATCAAGAATGGGTGTAGATATCCTTGCTATTACAATTAGCATTATAGCTTCTGGATCTACATTTAGTGCAGGAAAGAGGGTTGTTGACACCTACCGTTCCAATTTGGGTTGTGAGACGGTTCAAGCTCTCATATGCGGCTCAATTTAGGTTTGTTTGCATTACAATCTCAAATTGGGTCCGTTCACATTACAATCTCTATAGTTTTTATTTTCAAAGTTTCTCATTCAGTAATACTAATCCTAATATTGAATGTAAATTATTTGTAGGAAGAAGAGGATGATGGAAAAAAAAGAGAGAGGATGATGAAGAGGTAGAGATAACGCCGCCTATAAGTTAGAAGAATCTTGAAAGATAGCACATCACCACACACATTTTCTCTAATAATAGTTAGAAGAATACTTCTGACTTTTATTTTTTTTCATTTCCAGATTGACTATTTGAAAGTGTTTTTGCATGGGCAAAGTGAAAAAGATAATGGAGATTTTTGGTCATTTGTAGATTGCTATATGAGATTTTTTTTGTAAACTTTATTATTACTTTGTGAACTTTGGTACAATATATGTTCTTGTTGAGTGAACTTTGTTCAGGTTTATACCTGGAACTTACTCTTAATTAGGCTGCCCTTATGTTGCATTAGAATTACCCAATCTACTTCAGCTATGTTGCTCATTCTATCTCCATATGAAAGGAATAGAAAAGAAAAGAAAAAAAAAAAAAAAACTCTGCAGGTATGATAATCTTTTTTATATAGATTGATGGCATGTTAATAAAAAAATGACATTGTTACAGTGAATGGTTCTATTGTTCTTCATATCATAATATTTGTTTGGTTATTTTTGAAAAATATTTTATTATAATTTAAATTACCACTATTTAGCTGAACCTGTCTAGTAGGGATGATTTTGCAGCTGCCAATGCATAAAGATTTCTCATTTTGTCTGGAAAAAATTAATGATTCAAACTAGTAGCCTATATGTGAAACATGCCAAAAAAAAAAAAAAAAAACACTCCATGTTGAGCTAATGGGCTTATAAACGAGTCGAGTTCAAGCATTTTATTTGAGCTCGAGCTAACGAGCTGAGCTCGACTTGAAAATACAAATTTTGAGTCGAGTTAGAGCCACATAAATAGCAGGTGAGCCGAGCTAAAGTTTGAGTCGACTCGTTTGCACCCCTAATATCGATAGTATTTGGTGTACAAAATAAGCTCATTTGTTATAATATATTATAACATAAGGTATTTGCTCATGTAACTCACTTCCATCTATTACAAATTTCTCCTTTAGGGGCTCTTTGGTTGGCTGTAAAATGAATGCAGTATAAACTAAATGCAGTATAAACTAAATAGTTTGAGGCTATTTGGATTGTTTGTAAAGTGAATGCAAGGGAACTATTTTTTATGTTTGGTTGGTGTATGCGGAGAAAAGTGAAATCAGCCCATTGTCCTCAACAGAAGAAACACCTTGCGGCTCCACGTTACCGCACGAGGTGGTAAACCCATCCTATGGCACCAGGTTCTTGTACGGAGTGGCCAAATCAACAAGAAGTAGAAAGGCACACCTCAGAGTAATGGGCTACATCAATTCGTAAGGCTTATGTACGATTGTTGATCCCACCGACTGTATGGAGCACGACCTCTTATATGATCCTGAATTCCGCCTTTGACTGCTCCGACAGTGCACTCAAATGATTTGCATAGGCTATTTGTGCTCATCTCTGACATCGTTATCCGTCCCAAAACCGCCTTCGCCTGTACCTTCCGGCTTCCACACACGCAAGTGAACGCGCCTTCGTCTATACCGTCTAACTCTCGCACACGCAAGCAAACCTTCCTTTGCATGTACCATCCAACTCCACACACCCAAGCAAACCCACACAAATGGCTCCCGTTGTCACAACCCGACCCAATATGACCAAAAACTGCACAGGTCATACCATGTTAGATTATGACAAGACTGATCCTAATATCTATTTGGATAAATAATGAAATAAAACTTCCCATTTATATACTACATAAAGCTACTATTGCAATATAAAGTGGAAGACTATTGAATCTCAACATTATTTTCTATATATCATTCAAAATATATATAATCTAAAATTTATCTACAATAGCGCTTAGCAATAGAGAGCATAACAAAAAAATAAAAGCTAACCTTGCAAAAAATAAAAAATAAAACGAACCAAAACATACCTACAACACAGATCAGAACCAGGGGCGGATCCAGCTCCTTTTTTTAGGGTGGGCAAAAAAAATTTTTTTTTTGGGATGGGCAAAGATGCTTAGGATTGATAAAATTAGGACAAAAAAATTATTTTAGAGAGGGCAAAATGTGCAAAATACCCAAAATATTCTAAAAAATTCCCTCTAAATATTAAAAAAAAAAATTTTGAGGGTGGGCATTTGCCCACCCTTAGGCCAATGTGGATCCGCCTATGATCAGAGCGTGCTATCCAAACTGCTCAGCTCGCTCCTTACCCTTTCTTGAGCTTAAAACTAAAAACAAAAATAGGAATGAGCTAACACAGCTAAGTAGGCCATCGTAGCCTAAATTAAACAAAAATTAATAATCAAAACTTAAAGAACTGGGAACATTGTGCTAAATCATAAACTGAAATTAAATATAATTAAATAAATACTGAAATGAACTGAATTCTTATAAATTTTTTTATGGCTTTAAAAATTATAGAAAAATATACATAAAATAATTTATTTTATTTAAAATTTATAGTGAAATAAGTTTGCAAAATGGACACCTAATGCTCCCAAAACCCTCACTTGTTATGAAATTTCATCAGTGCCGAAAAATTATGAAAAAATAGATAAATTAAGACAAAATAAAAGAGATGTTATAGAGAATACGGTTTATGAGTTTAGCTTATAATTACTCCTGAATAAATTCTTGAGTGTTGCAGAAAATAAAGTTTTCAAAATTTTGAGTTATAGTAATCCACCCATCTTAAAAAAATATCTTCCTCAACATTCTCAAATCAAAATACTTCAAAATAAACTTGGATAGAGTTATCTCATCTTAGAGACCTTCTCCTAAGTAGCCTTTTTGATGTCTTGTGCTTCTACTGCGCCATTAGGGGGGGGGGGGGAGGATCAAAGATCTCTCCTACATTTTCCTACCATCATCACTGCTGGTGAGCACTATCATCACTAACGATAGACATCAGAAATCATCAACATTTTTTAGAATATTTGTCAAAATTATATCCAATTGTTATTGATCTTTATATATTTCTCTTCTTCAATAGTAAAGAAATGAAATTTTTTGTATCACTTGTTACATTGTGAATTTTGCAATTGAGTCAGACCCCATGATTTTTCCCTTCTCGGATTTTCCACAAAAAATTCTCTGGCCTTATCGTTTTTTACCTATTCATGCTAAATTTTTGTGCGTTGTTAATATATGAAATTAAATATCTATCAACTTAAATTTTCTAGCATGCAACTGTTATTATTATTATTATTATAGTAATATTTTTCTATTAAATAATGTTTATTTCAAGTTATTATCTTAGAGGAATCAAAGTAGCATTTGATGTATCTTTGAATATTTTGCAATTTCT